CATGCACCTTGTCCAACCAAACATCTGCCTCACACCATACACCTTGTCCAACCAAACACCCTGCCTCACACCATACACCTTGTCCAACCAAACACCTGCCTCACACCATACACCTTGTCCAACCAAACACCTGCCTCACACCATACACCTTGTCCATCCGAACACCTGTCTCAGTCACCATACACCTTGTCCATCCAAACACCTGCCTCACACCATACACCTTGTCCAACCGAACACCTGCCTCACACCATACACCTTGTCCAACCAAACACCTGCCTCAGTCACCATGCACCTTGTCCAACCAAACACCTGCCTCACACCATACACCTTGTCCAACCAAACACCTGTCTCAGTCACCATACACCTTGTCCATCCAAACACCTGCCTCACACCATACACCTTGTCCAACCAAACACCTGCCTCACATCATACACCTTGTCCAACCAAACACCTGTCTCAGTCACCATACACCTTGTCCAACCAAACACCTGCCTCACATCATACACATTGTCCAACCAAACACCTGCCTCAGTCACCATACACCTTGTCCATCCAAACACCTGCCTCACACCATACACCTTGTCCAACCGAACACCTGCCTCACACCATACACCTTGTCCAACCAAACACCTGCCTCACACCATACACCTTGTCCAACCAAACACCCTGCCTCAGGCACCATACATATACTATGCCCATCCAAACACCTGCCTCACATCATACACCTTGTCCAACCAAACACCTGCCTCACACCATACACCTTGTCCAACCAAACACCTGCCTCACACCATACACCTTGTCCAACCAAACACCCTGCCTCACACCATACACCTTATCCAACCAAACACCCTGCCTCACACCATACACCTTGTCCAACCAAACACCTGCCTCACACCATACACCTTGTCCAACCAAACACCCTGCCTCACACCATACACCTTGTCCAACCAAACACCCTGCCTCACACCATACACCTTGTCCAACCAAACACCTGCCTCACATCATACACCTTGTCCAACCAAACACCTGCCTCACACCATACACCTTGTCCAACCAAACACCCTGCCTCACACCATACACCTTGTCCAACCGAACACCCTGCCTCACACCATACACCTTGTCCAACCAAAAACCTGCCTCACATCATACACCTTGTCCATCCAAACACCTGCCTCACACCATACACCTTGTCCAACCAAAAACCTGCCTCACACCATACACCTTGTCCAACCAAACACCTGCCTCACACCATACACCTTGTCCAACCAAACACCTGCCTCACACCATACACCTTGTCCAACCAAACACCTGCTTCACACCATACACCTTGTCCAACCAAACACCTGCCTCACATCATACACCTTGTCCAACCAAACACCTGCCTCAGTCACCATGCACCTTGTCCAACCAAACACCTGCCTCACACCATACACCTTGTCCAACCAAACACCTGCTTCACACCATACACCTTGTCCAACCAAACACCTGCCTCACATCATACACCTTGTCCAACCAAACACCTGCCTCACACCATACACCTTGTCCAACCAAACACCTGCCTCACACCATACACCTTGTCCAACCAAACACCTGCCTCACACCATACACCTTGTCCAACCAAACACCTGCTTCACACCATACACCTTGTCCAACCAAACACCTGCCTCACATCATACACCTTGTCCAACCAAACACCTGCCTCAGTCACCATGCACCTTGTCCAACCAAACACCTGCCTCACACCATACACCTTGTCCAACCAAACACCTGCTTCACACCATACACCTTGTCCAACCAAACACCTGCTTCACACCATACACCTTGTCCAACCAAACACCCTGCCTCACGACATACACCTTGTCCAACCAAAAACCTGCCTCACATCATACACCTTGTCCAACCAAACACCTGCTTCACACCATACACCTTGCCCAACCAAACACCCAGACTCACACCATACACCTTGTCCAACCAAAAACCTGCCTCACATCATACACATTGTCCAACCAAACACCTGCTTCACACAATACACCTTGTCCAACCAAACACCCTGCCTCACGACATACACCTTGTCCAACCAAACACCCTGCCTCACACCATACACCTTGTCCAACCAAACACCTGCCTCAAACCAAACATACACCTTGTCCAACCAAACACCCTGCCTCACGACATACACCTTGTCCAACCAAACACCTGCCTCAAACCAAACATACACCTTGTCCAACCAAACACCTGCCTCACGACATACATATACTATGCCCAACCAAACACCTGCCTCACACCATACACCTTGTCCAACCAAACACCCTGCCTCAAACCACACACACACACCTTTTCCAACCAAACACCTGCCTCACGACAAACATATACTATGCCCAACCAAACACCTGCCTCAAACCATACATCTTGTCAATCACTGGATTGCCTTGTCCAGACTAGATTATTTTAGTCCATCACAAGACATCTAGCCACTGGCTGGTTTTCTCACAGAGTTTGATGATAATTACTTTACTGTGGCCTAATGTCTTGAATATTAGTAGTGTGATAACTTGGAATAAACAGTCAAATAATTATTTGACATAGGTTTCAAGTTCATCTTTCTTATTTCTTTGCATAAAAAGAATAAAAATGACAATAAAATCTGCAAGTCAATCTGTCTTGATTGATACTACAGCTTCATCACTTTGATCAATGATAAAGCATGATTCTCACCACATCATTAAACCATTAAACCATATTGTCTTAAGCCAGTTATCAGCATGCAAGAAATGGCATTTCCCTGTATGGAACATGATGGCAGCTGGAGTCATTCTACTTATTTCCATTAATGTTTTCTAGATAGCTGAAACACAAACACAGATCGTCTGGGGGGAGTCTGGGAACACAGGACACTGAACTCGCATGCCACACATCACATGACAGCCACCAGATGGCGCTCCACACTCATCACTGTTGCATGCTGGGAATACTTTCTAAAAGTTCAAAAATAAACATGGCTTGAAACGGAATATTTTTTCCATGGATAAAAAAATGAAAATTCCTATGTGCACTGAATTTGTTTCCTAAAATAATACGGCTGACTATGCTTGTTGATGACAAGGATGCACAACAGGACGAAGTTCCAAAATAAAATCACTTCATATTTTCTAAATAGATGTTTGAAACTGCATTTCTCAGAACCTCACTGTGAGTAAAATATCAATAAGCTTTTATAATTTCATAATATGACACTAAAATCAAATCTAAAAAATTCAAAAAATGTTTTTCAAAACCATAAAAGTCATCAAAATGAAATATTTTGAGCAATTCGAAACAGAATAACTGGTTTGGCTAAAACACTCGTGTTAGGCGGAAACGGTAATATCCTACTAGTGCCTTCCTGTCTGCCTTGTCCAGGCTCCAACTTTCTCAGCAGAAGGGGGTACGTCAGCCAAGGTTATGGCCTATAACATACCGTATTCGACGTATTAAGCGCCCCGCTCTAATAAGCGCCCACAGCGATATTTGCTGATATATTGGCTAGTGAACAATCCCAATTAGCACCCCTTCCGATTGATCAATGTACAAAAGACTCATTTATTCGCGTATAATACGCACTCGTGAGTTATATGCACCCTTAATTATGGGCAATTAAATTCTGGAAAAATATATCTATCGTATATAAACATTTCAGGCTGTCAGCATAAACCACAAAATTTATCTTTCAACTCTCTTTTTTCCATCAAAATACTATTCTAATAACAGCCCCCTATTTCTAATTTTGAGAGCGCCCTGGGCGCTTATCACGTCGAATACGGTATTGACTTTGCTCTGAACCAACAGCGAATGTTAATGAACACCAAACGCTTGTCTCAATGGAAAATATTGTTATTTCATTTCTTAAATAAAGATATACACAATTTTGTACAAAATATGAGGATGACATTTAGTTCAAACATCTCACGGGCAGGTCATGCAGAGAACAAAATAACGAAGGTAAAAAACAGCATGCAATGGAAATCAGCTTCTTATAGAGTCATGGCAGTCACTGGCAATGTGTCTCTATTTACCTCTCCTTAATAATCATTGATGATGTATTCTTGAACATTTCGATTAAATCTACTTAAAATATAAATTGATATTTCTTCATCAATATCATGTCGGAAATTGGCAGTACGAGTATATTTATATATAAATTCATAAGTTTCATATCTAATAGCAATTTGTTAAAATTGCCAAATATTGATCCATACAAACGGCAACACTGTTTTTTTTTAAGATGATGTATATGTTTTCATCAGTTTGATCATGTAGGACATGATTCCTGAGGTAGTGAGGCGGTCATACAGTGCTCCACTTCTTACCACATGAAATACACATTAACAAGATTCTTCAAATTCATATCATTACTTCTGAGTATATGTCAGTCCAATTCCCTAGTTTCCATGACAACCACTGAACCGAACCTTCATGCAATGGTCACTTGGAGACATTCATCTGCACACTCAGGCCAAACCATCTTGTTTTTTATTATTTTATGGATTATTTTTCCACTATGCAGAGATCCAGAAGAACAAATTAATACTAGGATCATGTCTGATTTGACGTTAACGATCTTCAAAGATAAAAGTAAACAAAGATTTTAACACCACAAAAGATATCAAAAGAATTTTGTAATACTATTATTTTTTCAAATTTAGAAACATTTGTCCTTATGGACAAAACAGTTTTGAACAACATCCTCATTAACAAGTGGTCCATTAAGAGGTCCTTTAACAAGTGGTCCATTAACAAGTGGTCCATTCTTAATAAGCAAAACAGGGCGAAGGTTTGGCAGAGATATGATCAATAAATGTCAGAGGTCTTACCCAGTGACCTACTGAATATTTTCAACATGCATGTTAACCCTTCTGCCTTCATGTTGATGCAAAGGCAAAAGAGTTACTCGCACAACACAATAGAACATTATGCAACAGTTTCACTTCTAAAACGCCAAGCTTAGAACACAATCACTATACTTGGCTGCAGAGTCCTTGCCCCTGATCGGAGTCGTTAGACGACGTTTCTTGTGATGACGTTAATGAATAATTAGCTGAATCCCGCCTCCCAATATCCCCCTTCTTCACTGATAAGTGGAGCGGTCTTGGAAAGAGGTATTCTGATTTGTCCAATGGAGGGTAGCCATTCTTTGCCCGTTTTTTCAAGCTGTTATCAGGACTGTCCGTTGTCCCATTAACAAGATGCCTGCTTGAATTGGGCAAGGGAAGAATGTCATTTGACATACTACTGACACCAGACGTGCTAGTCCTCTTGGAGTCATCACTGTTACAGGACGAGTTTCTCTTACATCTGTTAAGAGAGTCCAGATTGTCCAGATGAATATCATTCAGTTTCAGAGACACCTCCCCAATCTCACTTTCCACCAACCCCTTCCTCTTCGACAAGCTGCTGCTGTCTACATGTCCATTGGAAGAACTGTGGCTGGATTTCTTCTCCAGAGAGTTTGTGGTTGGGAACATGGACTTACTCTGTTCCTTGTAATTATTAGCAGTCCTTGAAGATTCCTTGACCTTGTCCCGGAATGAAGACATTAATGTCGGGAGAGGCTCAGAGATGGATGTAGAAGGAGCTTCCTCTGATGATGTTGATAAATTATTTACATTGCTGTAATACTCCCCACACTTATTTCTAATACTGTTTCTGTACTCTCGAGACATGTTGTTGTCGGTTCCGCTGTTCATCCTCCGCAGAACACCGTCCCCTCCGGACCTTTTGTCCTCGCCATTATGGACATCCACTGTGACATTCATCATCTTCGCTTCTGGAGTTGTCCGCCCATTTACTGCGCCCCTGCCCCTAATTCTACCATCCTCGGACGATGCGTTGCTGCGAACAGATTCGTCAAATGTAACTCTCTGTCCTCCATTACGCCTGTTTTTGGATTTTCTCATGGCGCCTCCATTGGCTGGTTGATCCATGTCGGATAATGGATTTTCGGTTAGGTTCATGTTGTCCGAGTTGTCCGTTCCATCTTCTGATGGCATGTCATCAGTTCCTTCTGTGGAAAGAGCTTCCAAATATCCCGGAGGGGACTCGCGTTGTCGGTTCCGACTAGGTGGTCGCTCTTTGTGGAGTTCATGCAACTCCATGTTGTTTGTCTCAAATGATGGGTTCTTCATCACATGACCATTCTCGGCGGAGTTGATCATAAACACGGGCTGCCCAAGAGGAACATAGTCAAGGATTCGGAACCTCCACTGCTGCTTTATTGTCAGCCCGAACCAAAGAACAATCCAGAACACCATATAACACACCTCACAGACCACACAGGCCAAGACTAGACCGTCTTTGGTCACGCGATACACACTGACCAAATCATATAATATCGGGCCTTTACACACGGCAAAGAATATCAGAGCAGCCATTGCACAAGAATGAGGAATATAGCCCTGGCACCCGCTGTGAACTATGACAGTCTGTTTGACATAAGTCTCCGAGTTATGTTTTCGTTCGATGATTTTGAACTTTTCCTGGAAGTAGTGTGCGCCATATTTAAACACTGTCATGGTGGACAGAATCATGATGATTCCGCCGATGACGTACAGGGCAATAATTGCGGCACATCCAAGCGACAGATGAACATTCTGGTAAAGCTGAAGGTTGTAGGAGACTTTGTACAAGACGGAGAAGCCGCAATAACCGAACACAGAGGTCAAGGACATGAAGAACATCTGAAAAGCAAAGATGGCTGTGAGGACCTTGTTCGTGAACCAAAACACGGAGGAGTATCTGATGGAGAAGGTGATGAGGGCGGCAGCGAAGTTGACGAAGGCCACGGTGAGGGAGTATTTGTTGGTCCAGCCCCAGGGAGGGGGGCGAGGCGTGGGAATGACGAGCAGGGTCTCGTTGTGGGCCTGTGTGATGTTGATGCTGCTCTTCACGTCACTCATGTGGGCTCTCTCCGGCATGAACAGGAAGTCCATGTCACTGGTCCACACAGCATCTGGAAAAAGAGAATAGAGCAGGTTAGTGATCTTTGGATCAAATGAAAGCTCTGAAAAAAACATTTTCTCCTCCGAAGCTCATTTTCAATAGCCAGGTTTCTAAACAAATCTCTTTTTCTTTTCTTGGTAAGTAATTGAACAAAAAATAAAAAAAATTGATATTCTCACGATTAATAATGTAAGACAATTTTGTACAAGACAAAACCAGAATTATTAATTGCTTCCAAAACAATTTCATTTACATGGCATGCTTGATATATCATATGGCTATGTTGAACATTTGTAAACTCAGCATCAACATGCTGCATATGACGTATCCAGTGTCCAAACTTTCACATGATTAATCTTAACACATTTTGGACTTGACGAAAGGATCCTGATTCAGAGAATCGGGGATTCAAACCAGCATGTAGTGAAGTGAATCCCAGTAGCTAAGGGAGGCAACTCGACTAGACCACTATCAAGTGCCTCCATACATGTTTACAGACCCAAGTGCTGCAGCCAATCTTCATTTCAGTTGCTCTTGACACCAAGCCTGGAGGCAATGGAAGCACACACTTCAATGATATCACCAGTCATACTGTTTTATATATAAATAGCTGACATCACAGCCAAGCCACACTACCCATAGTATCTAGACGTAAGAAAATAATGTTATTCCATTCACTGTATTGATCCAAAATAAACCTCGCTCAAAGATGCATTCATTCATAAAATATATTTTCATACCAAACAATCAGCAGCTCTTCTCCCCCACCCAAACTCCCCGTCTGCCATGGCAGCCATGTTGGATTGTCATGAAGTCAAATAATTCAAGGAAATGAGTGTCTTAGGAGACTAGGGGTGTTGTCAAGCTGTCGCAAAGGTATTGCAATAGCTGTATCTATATGGCAATAGTATCGCATTCTCTCTCATAATACTATTGGAATTAAGGAAATGGCTACAGTTTCCCTACTGACATCCCAATTATGATAAGCAAATGGGGATGCAGCAGAAGAATTAATCGCTCACTTAGAATTCAACCATGACTTTGGAAACTAATCATTTCAGATCGGTCAATCAGTTGTTTCAAATCCAAATAATCACTTCCCACTGACAGGACGTCCACATTACCATGGAAACTAATATTTATAGAAACGTACATTCTCAATCATTTTTGGTAGGCATTTTCAAATAATGATATGTATGATGCGAAAGAATTAATCACAAACGTCTCACTAACCCCATCTTTCAAGCAAGAGATGTAGATATAGATACATACAGTTCAAATGTTGTTTGCGAGTGCAGCAATGAAAGGTTTTTCTCATTTACAAACAAACATACACGTCCAAAATGATTTACATGTTTAGCTGTGGCTCTGGTGCACAAACAGCTCTAATAACTATCTTAAAAAACACTCAACATACATCAAAAGATTGTGCTCAACACACTGCATTTAATACAAGATAAAACACATCCAAGTATTCCCTCTTCTGATAAAGAAGGGTCATAGATATACAAAAATATTTCCTTCATTCTTCAGAGTGACAGTTTCCAACAAACTGCTTATTTGTAGTAGAGATCTGTTCACCAGATGATGGCGCTCCGCGGAATCAAAGAGAATTAATATGCTCATTTGAGGTGGTCTCATTGAAGGAGATTTACAGTCATCAGTTCGGTCTGGGTTCAAAAGACACATTATTCTAATTTGAAACCTTGGTAAATCCTTACCCTGTCAACAAGATGGAACTAGTTAACAGGGATTGTACTGAGAGGTAGGTGTCGGGAAACCTTAAGGATTTGGAAAGAAAATTGGAATGCCATTTTGCACAATTCACAAAAAGACTGCCAATCTCGTTAAAATCAGAACTCGGTTTCGCTACAGCTAAACAAACATCTGAGTACATCCAGGTTATGTCAGAAAGACCATCAGGAACTTTGACCGACCAATCAGAAGTCGGGATGTGACTCTGAATACAGAAACGGCAGCCGAAATCTTTGCAAGGCCAACAGGTGGCTGATAGTATGAGCACTCAAACCTGTGGAGCCATGACACACTGAGCCACCCATTCCCCAGTCAGCTCTTGGACATGTACTTGAACTGGGAATGTATTCCAGCTCAGAATCGGGTCGAACATGGAGGGATACACTTTGTGGGAGGTCCTTTAACACAAGGTATCAATTAATCACCACCAGTGTCATCCACTAGGCTCTGCAGACCATCAACATAGATTTACAGAAAGTTTTAATCATCTGAAAATAATACGTCTGCATAATCTCCCAAAACGGAAACATCCTCACCGTGATTGATGAGATTGTTCGACTTATTGCCAACAGACTTTCTAGATTGAGAGTTTTCTATTTCCGTAAACTCTCAAACAAACATTCTTAAAGTAAACTAGATACAGCAAATGTAAAACAGGCTTAATTAGAAAACACTTTAGTAGAATCGTGATGAGGTTAAAGTGTCTTCCAGTGTGATAGATGCTGAAGCAGACGGCTACCAGCAGACGGCTAATTATGACCTGCTGCTGTTGGTGCATCCAACTAATGACATAACGAGAGACACACTCTACTCTTCATCAATGACCTACACTCTTGTGTGAACTACCTTAACGATTCTGAAACAATTATAGTGAAATCCTTAAAGAGCATCTTAAAGAGGTGTTACTAGAATTTCAAGTTGTTGAATGTAGAGATTTCCTATGATTGATACAAGGTGTCCAAGACTTGCAGGACTTATCACAGAAGCAGTTATGGACGTTGGTTCTGCAGGAGAGCAGCACCATTGGTGCCAATAAATAATGCATGACATGTGCTGGGATTCCTGTAGGAGTCTTGGAGGAATCAGCTGATGATTAATGCTTGTAGTGAGTGTCACAATTTGGTAGGAAGTTGTAACAGTTTGAGTATTGTAAATAAACAAAAATAAATATAACAAGTGCAAAAGTGAGCGTGGCTCACTAATACCCCCGACCCACCTAGTGTGTCAGTAGTTACAAATTAAATAGCTAGGATAGGGTTAGGGTTTGAAAAATTCATACAAAAATGGAAAATTAATTAAAAATTATTTTTCTTTTGACTGCACCCCTCCATATGACACAGATTATATGTACTAAGTTTGAGATGAATCCACTGAATAGTTTAAGAGGAATCGCACGGACAAAGTTTTCGGACGGAATGTCCAAACCTCTTGCCAGCCATATTTTCAAACCTTGACAAGGTGGGTTTTGGTGCCTTCATTTATTTGAAGAAAAATCTGAACATAAGTGGTCATTCCTTAACTTCAAGTTATCTGTACCTAACTGACACTGTGAATGACCTTTTGAACTATTTGTCCAAACACTGGTGGTTTTTGTAAAGTGTATAACTGTACAACCGGCATCCACTCATCAATCAGTCAGCTGGTGAACCACGCGTAATTAGCTGTTGTATTAAAGTACCGGTAAATTCAGTTCCGTGGTCGCTGGTTTGGGAACTTTGAAACTGATGGAACTGCTAGGACCTGTAGCAAATTGGGTTGTGGATCAAACATGTGTTGTTGTGTGCACATTGTAGCAATGTAGTGAGACGATACACTTCTCAATAGTCACAACAACATCTGCATTGTAAGGTAACAATAAGATAACTATCTCATAAGTAAGGTTAAGATACTTATCTGAATAGTAGGGTTGCAATACCTATCTGAATAGTAAGGGTTGGGTACCTTTTTCAAGAGTAAGGTTGTGATTCCTATTTCAATTAAAAGGCTTGGTACCTATTTCAAGAGTAAGGTTGTGATTCCTATTTCAATTAAAAGGCTTGGTACCTATTTCAATAGTAAGGTTTGGGTATGTATGTCAATAGTAAGGTTTAGGTACCTATTTCAATCGTAAGGTTTAGGTACCTATTTCAATAGTAAGGTTTGCGTACCTATTTCAACAGTAAGGTTTGGGTACCTATTTCAATAGCAGGGCTTGGGTTCCTATTTCAATAGTAGGGTTGTGACACATTCAGAGCCACCTTCAAGTGTCTCAGTGCAATCTAAACTGACCATCCTGAAGAAAAATGAATAGAAGTAGCTGGAAAACTTGAAAATTGTAAAGCTTATGTTTTGCACCATGTAAATTCTTTCCCCCTAATGCAAGCTCATTAAACAGATACTCAAGGTAGTTCTAAACTACAGAACATTGAGGGAGGGGAGGGGGGGGGGGGGGGAGGGGGAGAGAGACACAAATCTAATAACCAAATTCAAGTACTTCTCAAGATCTGAAAGTAGTTCTCCTGGTCTGCTTCACACAGTGGGTGGGAAGATGAGTGAGAGATTGAGTGTCTGGGTGGGTGGGTGTATGAGTGTGTGGGTGTGGAGTCGGCGAGTAAGTGAGTGTTGAGTGAGTGAGTGGGTGGGAAGATGAGTGAGTGAGTGAGTGAGTGTCTGGGTGGATGAGTGTGGAGTCGGCGAGTGAGTGAGTGTGGAGTGAGTGAGTGTGGAGTGAGTGAGTGTGGAGTTAGTGAGTGAGTGAGTGAGTGAGTGAGTGTGTGTGTGTGTTCGTGTGTGTGTGAAGTTGATAGATGAAGTTGTTTGGATGCTGGTGCTGGTGCTGGTGCTGGTGCTGGTGATGGTGGGGTGTGTGTTTTACATCATAATGTCGCAGGTGGTACAATTTGATGGGGTGGTTATGGGTGGCAACTATTCACTGGTGCACTTTGCCTTCAAACCCAATACATTTCATTCCCTATCTGGACTTACTTTTTATAAATAGTCCTCAACATCTGCTTTTAAATCTACAAACTGACACGGGTAACATTTAATCATGTAGTGAATCTTGCTTACCTGTCCCAGGTACCCAGGTAACATGGCTGAGATGTAATCAGACCGGAGATGCCAAAATAACGCCTCTAATCCAGCAGCCTATGTGTCATCCTGTTCCTACAGCTCCATTACTAACTTTCTCTATCACCAAGTTTTTAGTCTCAGCAAATATTGGGCAATGACGAGCAAGCCTCACTAAAAACATGGACCTCCAACAGCGAAGAGTTA